CCCTGTCGTCTTTAGCAGAACGAACCATCGTCTCTTTACTCGAAGTCGTGGTCACAAACTTCAAGTAAGACAGCGTTCTCCAGAAAACCTCATGATGTTAAGGGAAATGATCAGAAACTCCGACTTTATCTTGTTTTCCGATCCCAACCCTTCCGTTTTCTGTGACCAACGAACTAGTTACTTAAACTTTTGTTAAGATGTCTGTTGCCCCCTAGAGATAATATATATTCGTCTCGATCGATTCTCCTCCCCACACCTCAAACAACTCCGTCGTAGAAAGGAATGTGCCTTCAAAATGCATAAACGAGATGAGGTTCGCTCTCTTTCCAAATCTATCCGGGCTGAACTTCAAAGGCTAAACTCTTTATACGCCCGTGTTCCGCTTGACAACAAAGGTAGTCGTGAGACCTGGTAAGCGCTCATGCGGATCTCTGGCATCAAATCCTCACACCGATCACCTGCGGCGGTGGACATAGATGGTCTGAACCGGAGTTTCATCAACGACGGAACCGCTTTCACTGCCCCAACTAATGGATATGAAGTGAACACCATTGACCCCGTCTCCAACGTTGCACCTGTCGATATTTATAAAGAGTTGTCTCAGTTAAATCCTCACAAGTCCTGCGGTCCCGAAGGAGTTTCATCCACTGTCCTGAAAGAATGTGCTACCTTCCTTTCCCCTGTACTGTGTGCACTTTTCAATGACTGCATTTTGCAGCAACGTATACCCGACTGTTGGAGACTAGCTTCTATCACCCCTGTGCCTAAGAAAGCATCCTCAAGATTTCGTCCCATTGCCTGCACCTCAGTTGTCCTGAAGGTGTTTTCTTTAATAAGATTTTATCTGATACTATTGTGTTTTACGTATTTTTTGACACACTATGGTTATGTGGTTGCTGAATATCCACCTCTCGGGGTGTATAAAGCCATTCCTTGACTTGACTTGACTTGACGACTTAGACATGATTTAAGAGTGAGCTTGTCGAAGTGATGTGATAGAGAGCATATGTGCTCAAATAGGAAACAGTCGCGGTCAAAACAAGGAAGCGAATAAACATCGATTCGCATTTTGTTTGCTTCGTTGATCTAACCGTTATCTGCCAGTTATTATTTACTGAGTGAACGGTCGATGAACTTGATCACCATTCTGACTTGATATTATTCCGTTTATGCTCCCCTGAGTTTGTTTCAATCTCAAATATTTGTACTCTTCATACCCGTATCGCAACGTCAATCCACCAAGTCCGTGCCACAGACGCGCCTCGTGAGTGTAGTCATAACAACAATGGAAGCATTTCTGTATAAAATAAATCTCGCTGACTGTAATGATAAAATGTTTGTAAAGATGAAATTGTATGTTGTCCATGTCGCTACCCTTTCCCGCAATTTAAACGGAAACTTCAGTTGAGGTGCTGCTTTTCGAGAGAGTCAAATTCATATTGAAGACCTTCGCATTCTTTGATATTTGACAGGTTTTATTTATAATTGATGATAGTGCCATCTTATCACGAGTGTTTCCTACCAGAGTTAAAAGGACAAAAAGAAAGGATTATCAAAAGTAAAGCCCGGGTCATGTATCCGATCGCGGGTAAAACATATCATACAAGCCTTGACTGGTTTCTTCTCTGTAAAGCTTATACCAAACCGGAACTCACCACTTGTTTCACTTTTTTCTAATCAGGTGTAGATATTTCCAAATTTCGGCAATAGTTTTATTACAGTGACAAATATATATTTCGGTAAAACCACTCATAATCAGTTATCGTGAATAAAACTCGTTTTCTCTCTTTCCATCCTTTTCACAGAGAAACTCGCCAGTTGAAAGTCTATTGGGGTGCCAAAGAGGTCTTTTTACCCGTGTTTCAGGATTTGAAAGACGCCATGGTCAGTCATCCGGACGCACGTATTTTGATCAATTTCGCCTCACTGCGCGTCGCATACGACGTGGCCATGGAAGCGATGTCTGTGGATCGTATCGGGACTTGTGCACCGAGCTCCGAGTCCCAACTCACTTGTATTGCCATTATCGCCGAAGGTATTCCGGAAAATTTCACTCGAGCCCTTATTTGTCGAGCGAAAGAACGCAATGTGCTTCTCATTGGACCGGCCACAGTAAGTGTCTCGCTCTATTTCTTAACTATTAACACATTCACTCTGGACACTGAAATTTACAAAACCGCTGATGTATCATGTGCTTCTACATTTACTACTACCAATTACTACAGGTACAAACAATCTGCACAGAGGTACCTTCCTTGAGTACAATAATTTCGTCATGACTGTCATATGCTAACCGATTGGAACATTCCGAGAGGAGGTAGTTGTAGTCGAAATTTCGGTTTTGGTAGAAAAGCCGAAGCAATACCGGATGGACATGTAGCTATCAATCTTTTTTTCGATTTCTGACGTTTGAAATTAGCAAAGTAGACGGATAGTTCATAATTTTCATCATGCACGTCTTTTCTAATAACGTGAACGCGTTCTGAGGAAGCGTGCTACCTTTTCATTCACTGCCTCTATTTGTTTCCGAATCACGCGAAGTACTTATTAGGATTTTTTAGCGTTATAATCCTTTGCGATGACTGATAAAGAACACTGGACAGTTTAGTTCTTCTAAAGACGTGTCAGCCGTGCTCAATTTCGGTGTCCCCGATTGGACATTAATCGTGAAGTTCCGGGTCGGCTGTCGAAATCCTTATACCTGGACTACTCGGTCCACAGTCAACGCCCTAGACGAACAGCTTAATCACATAAAAACGTTTGAATTAGTGCATTCTATTTTCACAGGCACCAGGTACTGTTTTTCGAGGTGTCTGGAGCTTGCACATATCTGAGTGGACTGTGTGATCCCTCAAAACAAAGTAGTCATTCGTCTTTTTTTATTCTTCCATTTGATAATCCTCTGATTGTCAGCTTTTCCGATTGAATATTCAATAAAGAGAAGAGATATTCGACCATTTATCATTTCTAATTTTTATTTTAAAGTAATTCGGTATTCGACTAGGGTCGACACGCTTCGAACATGTCCCTCAATTTGACTAACTTGGTTGGGGAAGATCAGTCAGAATCGATATCCTAACTGGACACCGGCTCCTAATGGATTGCTGTTTTCACACACCGCTCCACTGCCTTGCGGGTCAGGCTTTGGCTAGCCAAAGGCTCCGGTTGTGGATTCCTCAAGAAAATTCACTTGCCTTGGCCTGGGTAACCTGGCAGTATTCCGCCCACAAGCCAATCATGGAACGTTTTTCTTCTTACAAAGATGATTGTACCATGATTTGTTTGACACAATTTGTCCTCAGACAAGTGTAAAATATAATAATAATAATGATATCCCAAAGTAGTCTCAATTTATCTCACCCAGCTTACGATGGGGACATGTCACCGTTCAGATTTTCGCATACATGTATTAGTGTAAGTAACTGATTCCGAGCATACCATTTCAAGACTGTAGATTGTCAGTGCAGAATACATAATCAAAAAAGTTGTTTCGATAAAGATGTCTATGTTCAAACCCGATATATGTTATAAGTCTACGAAACTGTGGTGCATTTATTTCCTTCACGCTATTTCAAACATAGTCGATTAGACGGCCAAATATATTCAACATGATCATTTTCATTATCTGGTATCTGAAGAATATAAATCGATTGGGATATAGGGACCCATTGAAATGATGGTGATGCAACTCGAGAAGATGTCCAGAGAAATTGGTTTGAAAAAAGTATGGATTCAATTTAGAAAGTGAACAGGAGGGCACAACTGCTATTAGTCACAATCATCAATTAAATCACCCTGTATCTTGGTTTGGTCGATTCCGAATTTTCCCAACCGAACGAACGACTAAGAGATTATACCAGATTTAATCTCCCGTGGTCACATTTGACTAGTCCATTGGTGCAATGAGCGATTTTCCCAGACACTATCTTTTACTAACGAAGTGCATCTCCGTCATTTTTTTAAACCGCTACATTTATTTGGTCTTACTGAATTTATGCGAAAAAAGAATATATTTTTCTCTGTTTCAGAGATAGCACCTGAAATCTTCTACACAATACTTGCAATGATTTTCCCGATCTGTTCTCATACACTGTCCTGTTAATCCTATTTTTCGTTTTGATTCTTTACATCAGGTTGGAGGTGTGAAACCGGGTTGTTTCAAAATTGGCAACACTGGTGGTATGATGGACAATATCCTGGCTTCACGTCTCTATCGTCCAGGCAGGTAAGAATACTAGAATGCTTGATATTACAACTCCGAACAAGTCACACGATTAGTGGCATCAGTGCCTTTTCACTAGTGGCATGGGCGCCCTCTCTCTCTTTGTCGCAGTCGAGTTCTCTTTGTTTTGGTTTGCACACGCACGCACTTCGGAAATCCGATGCAAGTTATCGCACGTATCATGTTTGTCTATTCGTGTTTGTCGTTTTGTAGAATCATTGACTGAGCATTTCTTTTTCCGTCACGTTTTATCGGAGTGAGTAAACCAAACATTACCACCCAATCAGCTTTCACATTGATCTAGATTGTCCAACTCCCGGTTGGTGATTTGTACAGCAGAACCTTTATACCGCGGTGTGCGAATGCTGTCACGAGCGTCACGTCGGGTGGTGTGGTTGTGCTCGCTACAGCTGATTCGTTAGACAGATAATTAGTCACTAGCTTCATTGAATAGTGGAGTGATTGCTTTGCGTGTCGCAAGGGTCGTATAAGCAATGCATCGCACCATAGCAGTTTGCTCGAAGATGTAGTGAATCAGCGTCCATCAAGTGGCGGTGTTGGTATCAGTTGCTCATCTCAGTGTTCGTTCTCCTGTCAGAGACTTGAAGATGACTATAACAACGCACTGATCTATTTTAACGGTGGCCTTGCATTGGCATATGAACTGTAATTGTGTGTCCGGTTCACCATTGTGTCTCATCCGAATGATTTGGATAGTTCTAATCGATCGTCAGTTTTTCTTTGATAAAACCATCCTAAGCATGTGGAGAACTTAAGTCATTCGTAACTCGAGGCAACTGATACTAAGGTGTTCGCATATTTGTTATTGTTTGTGTTCTACCGGGCCTAAAATTTCAAATATAGCACTGTATGCGCATGACCTGTGTGAAAGTCCTAAGATGGGATCGTAAATGCGTTCTGCATCAAACAAGGGTTATCCTGAACAACTGCAACTTGTCAGATCGAACGAGATTTCTGTTGATCGTGGTTAGTGAATTCAGTATAACGCGTCCTTGTATAATGGCTGTGATGATCAATCAAAGTGATGAATGATAATTTCAAATAATCGTTTTTATCAGGACCCGGATAATCGGCGTCACGTAATGGATAACTGTTCAGCACTGTGTGATTAAAACAGCAACCGAACCACTGCCTTACGCAGCGTAGTTGGTGTATCAGTTCATAATATTTGTCTTTCTAAAACCGATTTTATTGTATTGTAATGAAGCTTTAGGGAGTTATATACCAGCTTTCAGTTAAAAAGAGAACACCATTATAATACTAACAAAAGGAGAAAAGTGGGACATCAAACGTGTAAAAATGTGAATTGGTTACTCAGTGCGTTTTAAAGCTCAGAACGGACACTCTTCTTATAGCTCAGTATGCGGGCAAGATAAAGTATCAAAGAGTTTCTGTATGCAGATATACGTGTTGGGATGAGTTTGTATTTGGAACGGGTGGAGGGGTGAGATTTGCATGCACACAGGCCAATGTGTAAAGGATGCGTGCAATCTGATAGAATATTGTTAGCAAACTTTAAGCACGCATCAATATGAGCATCACGGATATTGTCAACCAGCACAATCAAAGGACCTTAAGAAACGCGGCAGATCATGGAGAGGTTACGTCTCACCTGCTTGAAATCGCACTTCATCTAATCAGAGAAAATCACAGGGGAGCAGTAAAGTATTAGATTGATAACACCTTGTTGAACAAAAGCTTCTATCATCGACAAATCAGAACAAAAGTGGCGCAGTCTTCTTATCTGAAAAGGGAGAACTTTCAGCTTGCGAGCAAACGTTT